AGTTTGAGTTGTTCTTGAGCGTATATAGTTTACTCAACATCTACTCTTAAAGAGAGTCTGGTTCTTGAGTGTTCTTAGTGTTGTAAACACGTTTAGGGAAGCTTGTTTCCCTTGGTTGTACGAAGGAAAGGTATTTTCCTTCGGGTTGAAGTCTTGGAGTGCGGTATCTCCGAGCAAGTGTATTGAGGCTCGTGGGACTCGAGTTCTCAGGTTGTAACGGTTTGTTAAGCACCCGTTAGCTTAACGGTAGTAGTGTAGCTCGAGAGAGTCTCTCGGGAGGCTGGATTAGCCACAAGTTGTGGTGAACCAGGGTAAATCTTGGTGTGCTCCCTTTACTCCTTTTTATTCCGCTCTTTACTTTATCCCTGCGATTTATTCCGCGAAAATTTATAAACATTCTCGTGCCTCACTATTCACCCCCCCTCTAGTGAAGGGCACTTATTCTAACAATTGGTATCGGAGCCTAACTCGCGTCCAAACTTAACCGTTTGAGAGTAAAGCGATCATGGGTTCTTCTTCTAGAAATTTGTATGCAGGAATAGGTGAAGGGAAATCAACCACACGACCACCTCTTTTTGATGGAACCAATTATACATATTGGAAAGAACGAATGAGAATCTATTTTCGTTCCACGAACTTCAAATTATGGTTGGTTATCAAAAACGGGGAAGAGGTACCGATGAAGAAAGTCGGAGACAAGTTGATCCCCAAGACTGAAGACGAGTTTGATGCTGACGACATCAAAAAGGTCGAGAATTATGCAAAAGCAATAAACATGCTTTATTGTGCCGTAAATCCTTATGACTACCGCAAGATCTCTTGCTGCTCAACCGCCAAAGAGATGTGGGATAAACTTGAGGTGACGTACGAAGGAACGGACCAAGTACGTGAAGCCAAGATTGACTTCCTCACCCAAGAATATGAGATGTTCAGGATGAAGGAGCACAAGAATATCGATGATATGTTCGACCGTTTTCCCAAGATAGTCAACGATCTTCATGCATTAAAGAAGACTTACACCGACAGGGATCTTGTGCGAAAGATCCTACGGAGCTTGACATCCGAATGGCGATCCAAGGCCGATGCCATCTATGAGTCAATCGGCACATCAACTGTCACCATCGACGGTTTAAGAGGTAATTTAAAAACTTATGAATCTACTATACTTAACCCGTC